GGGGTGGAGATTAGCAAGGCCAGCAGGGAAGGGTCACTCCCAACAGAATCAGAAATTTACCTTTACGAACTTTATGACCCATGGTATCCTTTATTTGAAAATTCATATACAGACCCCGTACTGAACAACCTAGGCAGGGTTGGGTCCCTGTGATCTTTGTGGCCTGGGCCGGGCTCTGCAGGGCCCATTGGGGTATTTAATGCCCATCCACTGTAGCAAACACATTGGATCCCCGGATATCCTACAAGGGAGATGAGCTGTCACGAGTCCTAAGATACCAACGTTAAGGGTTAATGACCATATTACAGTCTTAGCTTGCCAGTTTCTCCATTATTCACATAAAACAAATACCATCATCTTACCATAACACTGAACTCTAACGTCTTAGAAAGCAGTTCTGGATTTTGCAGGCCCTCGGGGCTAAAACGGTAATGATGATTATACTGCAGATGTGCAGAAATAAGAACGCTCTGTTTAAGGGTGCCAGGCCACAGAGCATTTTCATTTGATTTCTTGGTAAACCTCTTTCTGCAGCTACAAAGGAACAACACTAATCAACTTGAATCTCATTTCCTCTGCTTGTCTTCCAAGAGCAGCGGGAGGTCAGGAGAGGAGGGCCTGTGCCATTCACGTATGAGATAACTGCTTTCCTTTACAAATAAGAGGTGCTTGCCTCCAGCTTTCCTAACACAAAGAGGGCATGGGTCTACAAAGAACAAACGGACTGCCCCAGTGCACTTGATCTGACCTCTGCCAGGACCTCCACTTTCTTCCTCAGCAGGCCAGAGATGTAGCGAATCAAACCCCACTCCTGGTTCAAGCCAGCTTTCCCATAGAGCTCGCTGAGGAGGTTGTGAACGGTGACCCCGTGCTGTCCGGAGAGATTTGTGTCCCAGCTGGGGCCCCTGTCAAGAGAGAGAAAATACCAGAAGTATGACCTGGAATGCTTAAAGGCTGGATTCACTTGGCAGGGAGGAAAATGAATCACTGTACATTCTGCCAAACTTTGGGGGCCTCCCCGTGCCTCTGAGTCTCACCAAGAGGGTTCCATCCTACCAAAGCACCCCTTCTATGTGAAACAGAAGCCTAACATAAACAGGGAGATCCTGGCCTCACTCAAGCCTTCTCGTCCTGAGAGGCCAGAGCTGGTGGGTAGAGGAGACAGAAGTCGGCTCATGGTGATCCTGGGTTATGTGGGTGAATATAATCATGACCTGCTTTGCTGGAAGACCAAGAAAACGACAACAAAGAGTCTGGGAGCGTGGAGAAGGCTCGAGCTGGTGAAGACCATAAACTTACTTTATTACATACAGAATGTACAGAATGTCTGCTTGGTCCTGTAGGTTTGAACAATCTTTCAGCTGCTCAACCAGCTTGTCACAGTCCACATCACCATGGTCATCTCTGGGCCACTGGAAGTCGTCTTCGGGGGCCTGGCCATACAAAAGCCAAACAGCGAGGGAGAGGGGCTGAGCATGTGAACTTTCAGAAGACCAGGAAGTGACACACCAACCGGGTCTTGAAACTCTGTCACTGCTGTGCTCCAGGTTTTAGTGACTCTTCCGTAGCTTTTTATTTACATGTTTTACTATTTCTGATCAGCGAATCATTGGGTTAGTCAATGTCTGAAGAGCCCAGACGGAACAGATGAAGATATGTGTATTTATGCAACGTTCAAAAACGGGTTAAAACGAAGCCCTGGTGTTTGAACTCAGGCCGGCAGTTACCAGCGGAGTGGAGGGAGGAAGCAATTGGGAGGGCACAGGGGGCAGCTGTTTCCACCGGTCCCCCGGTTCTAGCCTTTACGCCTTTCTCTGTATGCTGTACTGCAATAAAGATCTTTTTGAAAGCAAAACACAAAAAATATGTAAGTTTTAGACAACCTCCAATTGAAGTCAGGTTAAAATATTCTTCAGTAGACACTGAATCTTTCTATTCACGTAGGATAAAATCATAGACAAACTCCTAGATAAAATGAATTATAGGAATCAGTGGGAACACCCTGACATTTTATTCTCCTCAGGGATCTTTTTACTTACTTCCTCTAGTGAGACAGATTCTGATGATGGGCAGAAAGGCAGTAGCCTTTTCCTACATGCAAAGTATCAAGGTTTGCATCAAATGCATTGTGGATACTAACAAGAGGCAGATCGCAGACAACCAAGAGCGGGTTCCCACTGAAACCCAGAACTTTTAATCCCAAAGGTCCCGGACATCAAAAAATGTTCACTTTTGAGTTCAACCCCACAAAAGAGTTCTTGGGAGTAACACCAACATCGAAAAACATTACACTAAAACAAAACAAGACAAAAGTGATTCTAAATACTTTACCTTGTTTAGGAGTGGCTGAGGAGAATCAACAAGATTTAGTGATTTACGGTGGGTACTTAGAACTTTAGTTGGCAAAGTCATGGGAACAACTGGAAAACAAAAGAATAAAGAAAGCCCTTCTGAGGAGGAGGAAGGATAAGATACTTCTTTTGAGCGTTACGGCGACTACTCCTTACCCAATACAAACCGACTAAAGGAACGATTACTTATTTAAATTAATTTCAGCAAGAATTTACCAGGTAGCCACATGATGTGCTAGACCTGGGAACAAGAGGTGAGCAGGACATTGATCTCGCTTCTCCCTCCTGGAACTGAGGGAAACGACATAGCATCTGAGGACTGGAAGGGGCCTTAGAACTGATGGAGGCCGACCTTTGTCCTTCGGATGAGGAAGATGGGAACGACAGAAGGAAGAGCACGTGTTCGGGGTCACTGGCCTTCTCCTCATTAAGGTGTCGGCTTCCAGAAGTCCAGTGTGCATTTCACTTTGGCAACGCCAGGTGTTACCACTGCTGGTGTTTAACCACCTTTGGATGCTATCATTACCAGTTATTTATTCACCAAACCATCTGCGTCTTCCAGGCTAGGTCATATCATCTTGGGAAAAGAGGAAGTTTTCAACAGAGAGAGGGGGCATATTTATAAGGCAACTTACAGACCTCCAGTTTACACTAGTAAATTAAACACACATTTTACTTCCTCTCAACCGACCACTAACACTGTAGAAAATGATTTTTTTTTTTTAAAAGACAAATCCTCAAGAATAGGGGAAAGCAGGGGTGACAAGAGAGTAGTAATGGCATTTTGGAAGCGGGGAAGCTGATGGATGAAAGATAACTGACTTAGCAGACAGAAAGCAAAGGACAACCAGAGCCCAAGCCTGCAATGGGAAAAACCAACAGTCAGATTTGTATCAGAGAATCCTCAGAAGTCTCTCCTGCTGCACTATAGACCTCTGAAACTGGGCTCCAGAAAGGGTGTCCAAACATAAGGAAGACTGCGGAGAAGCGGTGTAAGAAGCAGGGGGCTCCTTAGATCCCTTCCTCAAATCCAGACAGCTGGGCAACTGCCGTGCTCACCCCGACAGAAGACTAGAGGGTCTCTGTGAAGAGGGTAAAAGCCGCAGGTGGGGTATGTGGCACACCTAAAGGACGTGCACAGTCCTGAGGTGGAATAAGTGACTCTACAGCTCCCAGCAACCAGACCCTTACATGTCAAAAAGGAGACTGAAAAAGAGATGGTAGGGTGTCTCTGGGAAATCTACCCAGCCCGCACCCGTTAATCCCACAGGCTCCACCTACACGCTTAGAGACTGTCAAGCACGAGCAGGTAACCAAGAAACACCCAACACTGGAGGAAAGACTCTAGTGTGGAAGACAGAAGCCAAAACAGGAAAAATTGACTTGGGGGACCTGAAAAACGTTTAGGGAGAAGAAAACGTGAAAACAAAACCAAAAAGTCCTGCTGTTAATATTCTTAGAGTAATGAGAAATTAAATTGCATGCACGAAACAAGAATGGGTGCAAATCAGAGAACAGAGATTTAAAGCCTGATAGCAAAAGTGAAAAAACTCAATTGAGGGGGTGGAACATAAAGTTGAAGCAACTGCCCTCAGAAGAGAGCACAAGCCAGAGAACCGGAAGACAGAAGAGAAACACTAAAGGCTTCTCTGAGAGGGCAACAGTGGATTCACAGGTGCTAGAGAGAACAGAGAAAATGTAAGGAAGGAAGCGAGTCAAGACATTTTTCAGAAAAACTTTACAGGACTGAAAAGAAAAAAATTCCCAGGGTTGAAAGGGCCCACTGAGCCTCCAACACAGGGGATGAAAATATACCCAGATCGAGGCACATCCCTGAAATTTCACAACCTGGGAACAGAGAAGATCCTAAAAAAATTTCCAAGAGAAAAACAATTCATATTTGAAGGATCAAACACCAGAACAGGATTAGATTTCTCAAAAGCAAGCCTGAAAGCAAAAAGACAGTGAAGCGATGATTTCAAAATTCTGATGAAAAATGTATTTTCAACCTAGAATTCTATAACCAAACTCTCAAATGGATATACAGAATATCTGTAGGTATTTTCAGACTTGCAAAGCCTTGACAGTTCTCTCAACCGAGCACCGTTTCTCGGGAAACTACTAGATATCTTCCACCAGAGTAAGAGAGTAAGCTAAGAAAAAGGAAAAGTAGAGATACAGAAAGCAGGAGAGCCAACCCAGGAGACAAGGAAGTCTCAAGGGACTCTCCGGGATGCTGGCGAAGGAAGATCCCAGGATAAAATCGACACCCCAGACATGGAGGGCACCCAGGCAAACGGGGCAGGGAGCTTCTGAAACCAGCAGGCTGAGGGCTGCCACCACCGTGCCTGCCCCCTGTACCGTTTTAAAACTTGGCGAAGCTATTCTAGAATGTGTTCCACCAAAGGAAGAAATCGAGAAGAACATGCCAAACTCAGGAAACAGGGAGGCCAACTGAAGAGATAAGCAAAGGAGATTCCAAAGATTATAGTAAAGAGAAGTCCTAGGATGCCAGGTGTGCAAAAGGCCTAGAGCACAACCAAGCAGACGGAGGAGACTTGTGGGCTCTACAAAAAGCAGTCCAACTGAGAGACTCATGGATATGACTGGCCTTGTGAAAATTTGTATTGTGGGCCACTGGGGGCAAAGCAAATGAAAGAGAGCAACTTTGAATAAAGTTAATAGTATTCGTGACTTCTAAAGTTAGTGGTACGAACTTTAGAAAAAATAAAAACTGTAATACGGTCACAATATACTATACAGCTCAGTTGAGAATACTTGCATACATATGGTAATATGAAGAGCGAATACCGATTAAACTTGAATATAACTGCCATCACTAGGCTATGGGAAGCGAAGCATAAGAGTGGTGATTTAAGACAGCTACATCCTCATCCACAGAAGAGGAAGCCAACACATACTGAATAAAAGTCGACACATCAAAAGATTGCATGATACACACATTGTTTTAGAAAAAGAGACATGTAAATGCCAGAAGAAACAGCTAACAGTGGAAAGTGGTCGCCTCTAAGCAGGACTGGGTCAACGAGGAGGAGGCAGGAGATCTCTGCATTTTGTGCTTTTTTAGAATTCTCTGACTTCTAAATTATGCTCATGTATTACTTTGAGAAGTTATTTCAACAGGCAGAAAAGAGTTTTAATAACGCACATGGAATTTCCAAACCCTTTGCTTTTGCCATCACGGAAAGTATATCCCGAGTGGAGTGGATGGCACTGAAAACATGGCTGTCTTCTGTCTTCTTAGAAAGAGGGGGCAGATAGCACTTGGAGGAGGTGCTTTGGAGGAGGTGGTTGATATACTGGTCAAGTTCATCCTCGCTTTCTGTAACTGGACAGGCAAGAGAAAGAGCCAGTGAAAAGAAGCTGCAGAAATATTCTCAATGTGTAACAGTGATATGCAGCGCTGAGTAGATTTAGTGGGAGACAACATTCGGCTATAGATACTTGCACCCCCACTCCCAGAGGGTAATGAAATTTACAAGGATAAATGTATGTGTTGATAAAGTTATCGTCTGGAAACACCTCATCCTAGGAGAAGAAAATGCAGGTCAAGACAGATACGCATCATACCAAGATGAACTGAATATGTAACAAAACCTGAGGGCCAGCGGCTAAACATCTGAACTTTTTGTTTTGCCGTGAGTGAGCTAAGCATTAGGGAGTGCCCAGCCCCCATAACCACAGGTCATTTCAACCCAAAACCTTGTTTAATTTGAAAAATGTTACGTACATAGGATTTCATCACTCAAACCCAACCAAACCTACAAACCTAGATCACTCTACCATTCCTTTGAAAATTCAAGCAGGGGGTTTCTGTCTTTAGAACGTATTTTGTGAAAAATCCTCATTCCTGAGACTCTTTGTCACTCTAGGTTAAAAAAAAAAGCCCCACTTCTGCAGGTTAGGTTTTTAAACCCGCATTTTACTCATTTTAATACACACGAGTTTCTAAAGCCTCTTTTTTGTTATGTTAACGACCAATCACTTTCTGTGCTTGAGTCTCAGGGCAGTTTTCTCACAATGCCACAGTTTAAATATTCAACGAACCACCTGCAAAGGCATTTCAAGCCATACCTTGATTATAGGTATCTTCCAGATATCCTCCCAAGTCGGAATCAGGACTGAAGCTCCCTTCGCTGTCATCATTAAACAACTTCTCATCACAGTCTGGATCCAGGAAGGTCAGATATGTGTAGAAAGACGTGGTAAGAAATTCCGAAAGGCTCCCTAATTTTACTCTGCCAGCCAAGGAGAGACTGTGTGAGACATACAGGTGTATGTGGACAGACTTCCACTATGAATCACGGAGAAACGTTTCGACAACCAGATGGTGCTTCTGCCAGAATCGATAAATACGTCACTCTGCAGATTGCCCCACATAAGTAGTCAGCCAAGAAATTAAAACGAAAATTCAATACCAAGTATAAAGTGGGAGCACGTAGCATATTAAAAGCCAAAATGAATCATGCTGATTTCTTACTCCCAAACCCAACACAAACAGAAGTCTATCTTACTGAACCGACCAAAGTTTTACAAAACAGACTGAGCAAACCACTTTTAACCAGAACCAAACAAGCCTTGGGGGTTTTTTCTGCCCTAAAACAACTGGACCAGAAGAAAACCTACCAGGCAATATGCTCACGCAGGCACAGGTATGTGATAGGAGAGGCAGTCTCAGAGGCAAAGTTCTTTCTAGAAGGAATGCCATGGGGGACCATCCCCAGACCAGAGCAGATGCCCAGCGTGGCCTTACTACAGTTTCAGGCTGGGAAAAGTTCCACTGAAAACTGGAAGCTGGGTCTGGCAGTGTGGGGTCCCGGGTTCAGGGAGCACAAGGGAGGGGCCACCCCCTGCAGAAAGCCACCACTGTGTGCTTCTTAAAATGTTAGCTCCAGAGGCAGAAGACAATAGGATCCCGGGAGCTACCAGCATCAGATTGGGACATCAGATCAGCATCAGATTAGCAGCTGGAAGGACCGAGAGAAACATTTAAGGAACACACGGAAGGAAGTATGCGAAGCAAGTGAGTTCGGGGGTGCTGGAGCTTCAATGGGCAAACGGACGACAGCCAGAAACATGACCTGAGGGAAGGAAAGAAAAGTCTTTCCTTTAATAAAGTAACATCTTTTTCCCACCAGGGTCTTGGGGCCAGTTCTAATGATTCCTTTGCCTTGAAACTGGGGCCAGGAGGAGGTGAGGGGGAGCGTGGAAAGTTTCTCTCGTTGGAAGTTGAAAGGAGTCAGGTCAAAGGTAGAATGGCAGGAATTTAAAAAGGCTTCTGATAACCAGCTACCCCAGGAGGGTCTAGAGGGAAACTCTGGCATCCAGGGTTTTTAAAGCCCCTCAAACCTAAAGGAAAAGCCAAAATGAGACTCAGTGTTAATTATTTCCTTTAGGAAAGGTAGCCTGTTGGAGCCTCGGCACTCCCGTTTCTTTCCACAGTCCTCCGAATCGTTTGCCATGCTCTATAAACAGGAGGCCCTCCGGATTCGTGGGAGCCCTCATCCAGCTCAGCATGGAGGCTGAGGCCTGGTTTCTGGGTTCATACAGAGCTTCTGCACCTATTCATCTCAAGCCCCTCGCCCTCTGAGCCTACAGCTCCTGGTCTGTCAAACAGGAATACAGCCCATGACGCAAAGTGAAGACTAAGTCAGACAATGCATCCAAAGCAACAAAGAAGGCACTGCAAGTGAGCAATTAACTGGAGACAGTATCCTTTTTGACAATGATTAGATTTCAATTAAAGAGTTTATTTTGCAAAAGTTAATTAGGAACGTATGGTATTTTCTCTTGGCTATAACGCCATGCACCAGGCGGTAACTTCTCCAAACCGCAGGTGGAATGTTCCAAAGTGCATGCCTACTGCAGTTATGGCGCTCGTGCTGCAAACGTAGATGGCAAAATGCTGGGGACGGTCTCACTGACACTCCAGGAGAAGATCGGAGTGGGGACATTCAAGTATACGGCAAAGGCGCAGCAAGCTCTGTGAGCAGAGGTGTGAACCCCAGCACTTCGAAATAGAGTGACTCAACTACGGGCGTGAGGCTAAGTGAAATATGCCAGTTACAGAAAAACATACTGGACGAGTCCACTTAGATGAGATATCTAGAGACACAAAATAGAAGGGTGGGTGTCAGGGAGAAAGGGGGAGCTGGTGTTTAACGGGTAGAGAGTTGGAGTTTTGCAAGATGAAGAGAGTCCTAGAGATTGGTTGCACAACAATGTGAACACAATGTTACTGAACCATATACTTTAAAATGGCTAAGATGGTAAATTATAGGTTACGTGCATTTTACCACAGTTTTAAAAACCACTGCAGTGGCAGCAGAGTCCCTAGTCTGGGGAGATGGGAGAAGGGCTGACTTTAAGACCCAAACACTTGGCGACTGACATTCTATCAGGGAACCAACAGAAGACTCCAGAGCCCAGGAAGGGTCACACCTCACTCAGGGCTAGCTGTACAGTGAGGTTCTTCTGGAACCCTTCTGGCATATTCCAAAGGATGTGGACATTAGGGCATAGAAGCTATAGAGAAAACTTCTGCCTTGTGACAGTCAGAGGGTACAAAAATGGAACGGGTTTTCCCAGGAGGTGAGGCCCCTCTATCCCTCAAGGTGCTTAACCATCCCACCTGGGAGCATCTGTGGTACTGTGGGCCCGTCAACTGGAATAGGTATCACTCCACTGAGGATGAGAGGACAATGGTCTAGGCAGGCCCATTCAAGGGCTCTGCTCTGAGGGCCCCTCAGGGAATCTGTAAAGTTCTATGAATTAGTCTTAAGGTCATAACACACTCAAGTCAATTCAAGGAGTATTCACTGAGCACCTGTTAGATCCCAGGCACTGGGTGTTTTCCTCCGGGCCCTTTACTAGAGACAGACACAGCATTCCATACATGCGTTCCGAGAATGCCACTTTAAGAGACCTGACATGTTCACCTCCCTATGCCTCAAGCCACCTGGCACCGGTAAAAGCATCACAAACACCCCCAAAAGCGGCTTTAGCGAGGATTCCAGTTTCACGTGGGTGAACGGGTAAGTTTCAACTTCTTTTTTACTCTAAACTCCATGCTTCTACGTTCAGTGATTCATATGAAAAGCGGAGAAGGGCAGCAGAAGACTTTTTAAGAAAGGTCACGGGGACGCCTGGGTGGCGCAGTCGGTTAAGCATCCGACTTCAGCCAGGTCACGATCTCGCGGTCCGTGGGTTCGAGCCCCGCGTCGGGCTCTGGGCTGATGGCTCAGAGCCTGGAGCCTGTTTCCGATTCTGTGTCTCCCTCTCTCTCTGCCCCTCCCCCGTTCATGCTCTGTCTCTCTCTGTCCCAAAAATAAATAAACGTTGAAAAAAAAAATTTTAAAAAAAGAAAGGTCACGGATACCTAAAAAAAGAAATAAAAAATAAGTTTAAAAATCACAAATTACCTGGCTCCTCCAAAATATCCATCCTCTAGTTTTCTAATTGTAGAAAGAACTGCAGAATGAATATCTGAACCATCATTTGCTAAGGGGAAAAAAAAAAAGACAAATTAGTTTATTTAATCTGGGAATACTTTTTGGTTTTCCGGGCATGCGCTGAAATGTTTTCATCAACACGATCTAATTAAAATACTTATGGCATAGAAGATTCCTGACCTCAGAAAGCAAACTGCTGAGAACCCCCTTCAGTACTTAGCTTTGTCTGTGGGACTCATTTCAAACATTCTGAAAAGGGCCCAAACCAACAGGGGGGACACGAATCAGATCAAGTTCATGAAGTTACTGAGCATGGTGTGGGTGATGGGGAAGGTGAGCGTGGGTCTGCCCGTCATCCGCCAGCAGGTGCACAGGTAGGCCAGTTCGATCCTCAGCATCTCCACGATCATCTCATTGTCCAGGGCCAGGTAGAAATGATGCTGGTCGGTAAACTGCAAGTCAGATCAGGGCAAGTAAAAAGCTGTCCTTCATTCCCTCGACACAACCCCAGCTGTCATTCATGGCAGCACTAATCCTTGCATTTTGTTTCCAGAGAAGGAGCTCAATCCTGGCTGTAATCCTCCCCCATCACAGGGCTCTCCCTGCAATCAGACAAAAATTGATCTGTCGCCTGCCCGGGAGCCATAGCTACATTAGCCTGGAAGGGAAAGGTGCATGGCTAGATCCATTTATAGCTCCGTGGATGAGGATTTAAGCACGCAGCCCAACACCACGGTCTCTGAAAGGAAATCAATAACTCCTTAATTCCTACGCATTCTAAGGCTGCTGGGCTCGGAGAGGATTTCCAAGTCAGGGAAGTGAGGGCACTGAGAGCCGGTGAGATGTGGAGACTGTGTTTACCCGATAGAGGGCCTGGTAAATGTGAACTAAAGGCACTACGGCCTGGTGTCGCTGAAAATCAAACTGTTCCAGCCTCTGGACCAGTCCACACTCAGCTCTGGTCTGAAATTTGTTACAAAGGGAAATAACTCACAAGTCTGAAGTGAACAACATGGACTAGGGTGAAAAAGAACAACTTGGGGCTACTGACCCGTGACCCCACGGATGACAGTGTGACCAGGTGGTGGGGTGCTCTGCCCACGGTGACAAAGTGAGCCCACAGCTGATTTTTCTAGCTGGCCAAATGGATGAAAAACATTTGGTTTGGGTTCTGCCGGACTACCTTCCTTCGTAAACAAAGACTCTGAGAAAAAGGCTCTATAATCAGTATATTTAGGATCTCATCAGGTGGGTTGGGGCCTGAAAATCAGACCGGCTGTGTGTTGCACAGAGGGTCTGATGACAACCTAAACAAGGGTTAGGGACTACAGCAATCACAGGCACGAGGGCTGCAAGTCAAGTGACACGGCGCTAGTGAATTAGGAAAGCGGAGTGAATTTCACTACTACCCGTGACCGAAAGCGACGGCACACTCACTCACTGAGCACCTACTAGGAATAAAGAATCGTACTAGGTACTGGGTGTCACAGTATGAATTTCTATTTGAACATACGCATGTACCTTCTGCCTCATTCTAAGTAGCTCACCAGGAAGAAAAGGGAACCTAATCAAAGGATGAGTGCTGCTTTGCTGCTGGTCTGCTCTCCTCACCTGGGGTGTAAAAGTAAAGATCTGGTTCCTAATCACATATAGCTTAGATGTTCCAAGCACGCCAATGTGCCGATATGGCCGCCCACTCAATTTCATGTTCTTGTTCCGTCCTATTTGAAAAATAGAAATGAGAGTTAGGACCGATACAGCAACATCTAATCCAAGCGACTTTGGCTAAGACTGCGCTTATTTTCATGCTAACCCACTTTGGGGTTTGGTGTTTCTAATACCATCCAACCCTTCTTTAAAATGGGGCAAGGATGAATTATAAACAAACCCTGCCACCTTCTTTTCATGCATGTATACAAACGGCACCTGATTCAACACCTATATGGAGTTAAACTATTGACGGAACTTTATGAAATGTTTACTTCTAATTTATTTAGTATTGAGCCATAATACTAAACAAAGTTAGATTTTAGATAAAGAGAACCCCCCTCCCATTTTAATGGGTGAATGAGCATTTTCTAAGAATACAGATAAAAATCAGAAACCTATTAAGACACAAGACTGATCCAACTGCAAATTTTCAGAGGCGGTGCCCTATTTTACAACAGATCTGGCGAAGGGCACAGCCAAGCGCTGGTGACATCTGCTGAATGAGTGAGAATGTGCTGGTGTGCCACCCTTCTCCACTTTGAAGAGGTCGAGCCACACGCTTTGGTGGCTTGCCCAGTTCTTCACAATTCACACCTGTCGGTCTCCCCCACACCTGAAACCTAGAACCAAGATGCCCCCTCACCAAAACCACCCTGCTATTTCCCCAAACCTACCAAGCTTGGCATATATGTGACTAAGAATCCGGCCTGGCTGGACTCGGATTGGATGAATGTCAGCAATACTCTGGACGTTTACCCCATGTTTCCTCAACAAGTCCTTAATGAGGTTGTTTTCTGCCAGAACAGTGACTGTGAACGAGAGCGTAGACTCTGCATTAGACTGGGGCCTTCTGTCTCCTCACATGGAGAATATATTGTATTGAATACATTGAATACGTTTCTGAAACTGTACTTCTGCTTCCTCCAGCCCAGACCTTCTGATATTTGCTATTCTGTTCTGTTCTCTTACGTTAAAAAAAAAAAAAAAGTCGCTGCTGAAGACCCATCAGCTGGTCCCGGCCTGCAGCTGGAAAAGCAGCCCGGTGGATTTCCGGGCTGGCGTAGCAGCGGGTGTCGTGGTCAAGCGCAGACTGTGGAGTCAGGTGAATCAGTCCACCTGGACGTGAGAGTGGAGTTCGTGCCTCCAGCTGTCAGCTCTGGGTCCTGCGTGAGCTGACCTCTGAGCCTCATGTGTTAAGACATGGATGAGAATCACAACCGTCACGATTTCTATCTGATCGCAATGTTGTGACGGCTGGATGTGTGTCTGAGGTCCCGGAGCACGGGAGCGACGCAGGGTCTCTTGCCGCACCACAGGCAGGGGTGGGGAATGAGTCCATGGCCGCAGAGAGGGCTGCCCTTCATTTGTTCAATAATTGCTTTGAACCTGTTGACTGACTGTGTGCCAATCAACACAGAAGCTACAAGAACAGTACGGGCCTTGTCCTTAAGAAACGTAGGGTGTAATTTAGAGGAAATAAGGCCTGTACACCACGTGCGCTGATATCAGCTGCCACGTAAGTTGCTTGGCTACGTAAGAGGCCCGCAAGCTCCTCACGAGTCCTCCCCGGGAGGGAGGGGGACCGGTGAGCCAGGACCCGCACCGAGGGTTTTCCTGGTGACAAGTGCAGTGCATCTCGGGACCACCCTGTGAGGGGGTACCAGTTACGATGACCCCGAGGCACGGGGTGGTGAAATCACATGGCTCGGCAGGGACAGCACTGCGGCGGCCCAGGCTGGCCTTCCACCTCTCTGAAAGGGTTGCTGGCTGGACAGGAGGGGAGGCAGGTGAAAAACATGGGCCTGCAGCTCTGCAGAGAAGTCACACCTCAAAGGAAGCAACGAGTAAACCTTCACTCGGGTTCTGAATTTTCACCAGGGTCATGTTCTACTTTTTAAAGAATTTCAGTAATGACAAATGACACGCGGTGAATCACCTGTGCCCCAACTGCGATCAAGATTTAGATTCAAGAAAACAATTGCTTTGTAGAAAGTAACTTTGTGGTTGGAAGAATACTGTTGCCTTTGGGAACTACTGAGTTATAGAAGGTATGTCCAGGAAGTAAGTGATAAACGCTAGAGCACACATACATACTTTTTACAAAGTGGGATGGGAAACTAGGGAATCTTTTGCATTAAAAAGAGCATTGGTTTTAGACGGTTGAATATGAACAGTAAACACGCTCACAGACCTTGCACTACGACATCAGGTTTGACGGAAGTGGAAAATCTTCTATTTAAGGGATCAATTTCTCCAGTGGCAAGGAATCCCTAGGAAAAGAGGAGGATTAACACTATAAAATACAATTAAATTTTACCTTAAACCCAACTTTGAGAATGAAATATTTTGGGGCTCAAAATATTCAGTATGTTATTCCTTTACGTTGTTTAAATCAATTGCTTATCTTCTCTGAAACACAGTACACCTTTTGGATAGCCACTGATACACGTATTGTGTTTCCAGCACCCAGCTCTCTAAGCTAGTCAGACATGCCAGCATCTTGTGTGAGCGAAAAGGGCAATAGCGACTAAACTTCCCGAGTCCTTACTCCTCGCCGGGTCCCGTGCTGAGCCCCTCCACATGCCTGGCCACACTCAGGCCTCCAAACAGGGAGGCACTACGATTATCATTTTATAAGTGGGGAAACCGAAGTAAGAAGTAACGAAGCACTTAAGGTAAGTGGCAGAGAGGGGACTTGGCTCCGGGGTGACTATCCTGAAACACAAAGCTCCCATCCCTGCTTGCAAAGAGCGCTGTTTGCATATGGATCTCCTCACATCTTCTGCAAAGGACTGGAGCCCTCAGCGAGGGGATCAAGGTGTTCTAGGAGTTCTGAGGAAGAATCCGACCCAGTTCTGGGCCTAAATGAAGGCCTTTACATGGAAGAGGAAGAAACAGCTGTTTGTTCCCCCATCTCACTGACACAGACATCACAGCTGGAGAGTAATGCAGAAAATGATCAAACCCAACCTCTTCACTTTACAGATGATGAAACCGAGGCTCCTGAGGCCAGAGAGCTAGTAAGAGGCAGACAAGACACATGAAATGTGTCTGACCATGAAATGGAGGAGGCAGTCACACCCATGAAACAGCTGCCCCACCTCAGCACCGGCAGCTCCTAAGGGCCGTTGCTACTGTGAGATCTTTACTTCTGATATTTTGCACACTAGGAACCCCAGTGGTATTGGAGCCACTACTCAAGCTCCCCACCCCCAACTTCTAGAGTCTGACAGAACACACAGGACTGGGCCAGCCTCACAGGCTGGAGCTCCTAGCTCTTTCCCCGGGACTCTTTCCTCCACACCCCTCCCTGCGGGCCCAGAGTAGTCAGCTGGGCAGGAGCCCCCGAGGACAGATGAACCCATCTGATAACCTCACCCACACACCATCTACACCATCACCCCCGTTGGGGAGGGGGATTCATTTTTAGTAGACAAAAAAGCATTTGCATTTTAAAAACTTAAGCCTGGGGACGAGAGAACATTTAACAAGAAGAAAGGAGTCAGAGGCAGCAGACCTTCTAAGTAAGGGTGTTGGGGGCTGAGGGAACACCTGACACAAAACGAACCACAGGAAAATGAGCCCCTCCCTGCCCCTTCACATAGACAGACTGTGCAGCTGCGCCATTTCCTGTGCCCAGGACTGTGCCAGGGGAGCCGGAGGCTGACTTCTCCAAACCTGTATCTTTCACACATGTGCGGATCCTGACTGGGAAGCTTCTAGTCTCCTGCTGACCATCGACTCAACCAGGTTCCAGCCACAGGCCAGGAATGTGAGGGGGGGTGGTGCCTGGCACGCAGGGAACTCTGAAGTGGCTTGATTTAGTAAATATGGGCACACAAGCCCAGGCAGCAGGCCTCAGAGCAGACCCAGTCCAGCTGCCTTTACAACTCTGAGTTGCCAAAGTCATTCACAGCCACGTGGGGCAGAGCTCCTACGCTCTTCTAGGGTCCCCTGTACCTCAAATCCGATGGCTTCCAGTCTGTGAGGTCCCCAAGTCCCCTACCTCTGCCAATAGCGAGCTGAGGATGTACAAGGACTGACCCCACAGATGGGGCAGCTTCCCCAGAGGAACTCTGTCCACCGTGTGGGGGTTCTTATACTCTTCATCTACCTGGCAAAGAGAAAAACCCAAAGTCAGAATGTCAGAGGATAAGGAGACCCACGTCACTGTACATCGGGAAGCGCGCTGAGGATTTACAAAACACCACTCATTCGATCCCCGAAGCCAGTCCTGTGCGAGCGCTGGGGCAGGGAGGCCGAGGAGCTAAGGCCTGTGTGTGGGGGCCAGGTGGCTAAACGCAGCCGAAACGGAACTGAAATCCAGGCCTGGCTCCAGGCCAGCGCCCCTCACACAAGCACACTGATGGCAGGAGGCGGAGGCAGGCACACGGAGCCTGGACTGACTTCTGTGAGCACCACTCTGGGCAGCAAGAAGTCTCGCAGCTCATGCTCGCGCTCGTCTATATGATGCGTACGATGATCTAAAGCACTGCCCTATAGCCAAGGCAATGCATCGCAGGATGCTAAGTCAGGTTCCTCCTGTCTTGTTATCCCCAGGAGCTCACAAACTGTGTGCCTATGCAAGACGGTTACCAGAAGGTGGCACTATTTATTGAGGAAAAATAGTACTGTACTATTAGATCACTAATTTTCCACCAGGGACTCAATAAGCTGGATCCACTGGGAGCTTCTGACTCATCAAAATAAGCTACGGTTCTTTTTTCAGATGGACAGTGCTGCATATACATTGTAAAAGTCAGTCTGCAATTTTCTCTGTTGTAAACTCCATGCTGACCTTCGGATTTATTATTATTTTTTTTTTTTCAAGTAAACTCTACCCCATCATGGGGCTGGAACTCACAACCCCAAGATCAAGAGTCACATGTTCTACCGACTAAGCCAGCCAGGTACCCCTGACCTTCGGGTTTTTAGCCATTACAACGCTGGTTGGGGTTAATGTTAGTGACCGCTTTTTTCTTGCAGAAAACACAGCAATCGAAGAAAATAGGAAACACTTATCCTTCTCCAAAAGGGAAAGTCACACCACGAGGGGAGTCATACTCTGTGGATTAATCAGTGATGTTATTAATAAATTGTTAAAATTTGCTGCCATAGTAAACATTAAGAAAACCTTAAACTCGTAAACTACACAGAATTAACCGTGCCAGTAACCGAAATGAGCTGCTAGCATGACAGTGTGGAAGGAGATTCTGCAAAATGTCAGAGTTATCGTTGGTAGCAAGTTTGGTTATCTTTGGGTAGTAAGAGGAGGGAGAAGTATTTTCTCCTTTCTACAGAATCCTGGATGTTTTACAGTGTACAGGATTACTTTCACAATCAGATTGTATGTTAAGGCTATTTGAAATGTAAGTAGTGTTAAGAAAGATTGCAAAGATCTGGAATGAGAAATACTTGATGCAAAGAACAGAAGGCAAAGTGTCTGGATCAAAAGACAGCTTGGCTCTGGCCTCCCCCCACCCTTGGGCCAGCTCCTGCCTCCCTGTGGAGGTGTCGCTGTCTCTCGGCCCCTCTCCACCTCAGTGCCTGCAGGTCCTCTAACGCACTAGGTCTCTGCAGTGCCGCTCCTATGTCTGCCTCCATTCCCCAGACCAGCTCCTTCACCCTCCGCTAGCCTGTAACCCTCGTCGAGACAGAGCTGGCACTGTAACCCCTTTGTGCCCCGTACCTAGCTTGGTGCTGAAGAGACCACTTCTGGAGAAAAGGTGTTAGGTCTGAAAGGGGGATGAAAAATACCAAAAGGCCAAGCACGAACTCACTTCATTTTAGATAAGCAGCTCTCGGTTACCTTGTTAGGTGGGATGGCATACAGTTCTGGCACCAGGTGGATCCCGTTCTTGCCTCTGATTAATATTCCCTCCAGGGCCTCTCGGTACTCTTGGACCTGAAAAATGGCCCCGTGCCCCAGCATGAAAGAGGAGTCACTAACACTGTAACAGGAGTACGACATACAAAAATACCTCTCTTGGCAACAGATTACTAGTAGGACACAGGGCCAAGAAATGCATGAATACCTTCCACTTCAGGAGGGCAGGAGGAACTAGGACTCTTGCCGACAGCAAAGGTTAGAAGGAGCTAAACGCATCGGGCTTTTCTGTATTGTCTGAACTCATGACTTCAATATTTCACCCTTAACGTCTCACATATGTAAATTTTGTCTCACCAGCTAGACTGTATAAACTTCTTGGAGTGGAGGCCAGATCTTAAGCAGGGTATCCCTATTTCGACCTACCAGTTTTCCACTTAAAAAGCCCTCATTCAAACATTTATTGCTCAACAAATACTTGCAAAATGAACCCGATGTGAGGAAAAGGAAGTGTATGTACTATGATTCATGGACCCGATTCTTAGGATGCACTGCTCAATCTAACAAAAGCTGTTGATGTAAACATTTCCATGAAATTAAAAAGGCAGCGATAAAAAACCTATGTATGAAAAGGAAATAGACAAAAGGGGAAAAACAATCCTTAACCAGCCACCCAGCTATTTAACACATTTCATCTTTGGAAAACCTAATCAAATGCCTTTCAAATCTCATTTTCTTTACTTTTGAAATTTGTGGACAACAAAGTCTGAGCAGGGGTGTGTCATTTTTTAAAGACCATTGGGCATCAAGTGGAAGAGACAGAATAGGGCTAACAGCAGTAAATTCTACGAGGCCTAGAAAATAAGGTCCTAAAGCACATTCTTTTTTGTCTTCTCAACCTTTTGTTTGTAATAACTGTCAAACTTCATCACGAATGAAATTCCAAATCAATTCTTTTGAGACCTTTCAGTTCTGGGATAAAAAGACCGAAAACATAAGACCCGAGATAATCCCCAAGCATAACAGTAAGTATCAACGATAGGGGAACATTAACATTTCAAGCTTACTGCCATGTTGGGAAGGAAGAATTCCCTCTGCCCTTCAAGGTCCTTCTAGCTGGACTGAGACTCAAACTGACATGAGACAGATTAAGAGGAGAAAATCAAATTTAGTTACATACATATGGGGAATCCACACAGGAGATTCTGAAGACAGTGAGGCAACACGAGGTTTATCTGACATCCTGAGCTCAGGAGAGGGGTAGGGGTCCGAGGATACAAAGGGAAGGAAGACCATTTGCAGGAAGATGAGAGGAGATGTTGGAAAAACAAAGGTTGCCCTGCTTTGCACTTAAGTTTCTGAGGTAAAGAGGAATCGTGTCAGAAGCTCTCTTTCTGGTATAGGCAGGCAGTTGAGGGGGAGATGAAGAGCTTTTCTGGAATCTACTGGGTTTTGATTACCTTTAACTCAAAATAATGTTCATGCCAAAGTGGCCCATCTTGGGGTGGCCTGCCCGTGGCCCCTACACCCACTTCTGAAACCCCTCTCAGAATTTCTGAGCAGAGGCGGCTTTCAAAACCAAAATAAATCTTTGATTTCTGATCCCACGCCAGTACATGTGCTCTGAACAGGTTAAGACAGCAGTGAAGCATTTGTCTGTCAGTCATTCACATACGGTTCATGAGGATGGGTCTGCTCTAATGCGTACCAAAGTATGCACAGCAGCAAATGCTGAAGAAGTCTGTCTTGAACCAATGAATGCTGCATTAACAGATCTTTATTCGGCACTTACTATACACACCAGGCACAGGGAATAGATTAGTGAAGTGGTCAAAGACCGCCTCCACCACGGTGCTCTGACAGGTAAGTGGGAGATTAAATACAGCTATAGGTGCCATAGTGTGGTAAGTACTGTGGGACATATAAAAGGCTTTTTTTTTTTTAATCCAACTTTTAGGATCAGAGAAGGCTTTCCGAAAAAACAGACATTTACAATGAATCAAGTGAAGGAGAGAGGGGCAGCTGGGGGAGAAAAGCAGGACCTGGGTACTTAAGAAGAGGGGAGACAGCACGGACTGTCCAAAAGATGGAAAGGGTTTCAGGGCATCCCAGAACTCAAGAAAGTAAGTAAACCATAAGAAATCAGGTTACAGTGTTGAAGACAAGGGCCAGATCTTATGAGACCCCACAAAACATGTGATGACCTTATACCAAGGCAAACCGGAGCCTTTGGAAGCTCTTAAGCAAAGCAGCGACACAATCTAATTTGCTTTTTAATAAGATGCCCCTGGCAATGGTATAGAGAACCAGCAGGGAGTGAGGCTGGAGGCTGGGCCACCAGTTAGAAAGCTGTTACATTACATGTTAGCTGAGGGTACTCTTGGACTAGGGCTGAAGGCAGCAGAAGCCTAGGCAGGTGAGAAGAAGACAACAGAACTAAACGTGTGTGGGCCAAGGTGGTCCCCGATGAACCCCGCTTCCCGTTACTCGTGCCTGTGTATAGTCCCCTCCCCTTGAATGTGGCACGACCCTTTAAACAAGAGAATGCAACAACAGTGACCCGGCCAGTTCCAGGCCTAAGCCTGAAGAAGGCGTGGGAGCTTTTGCTCTTGCATTCTGGGGGAAGAGGACCACCATGGAAAAAGCCTAACTGCTCAGAGACTACACTTCTGTGAGAAACAAGGCCTGGGCCCACAAGCCCAGCAGAGGTCCCAGCCAATAGCCAGCATCAAGCTGCAGGCCAGGTGAGTGAGGCCATCTTGGAAGGCCATCCTCCAGCCCCAGCGAACCAGCTGTCGCCAAGTGAAGCAGAGACAACCCGTCCCTGCCGAGCCCTGCCCAAACGGGGCAATCGTGAGCAAATAAACAAAGCAGTTGTGGCTTTAATTCACTATGTTTTGGGAAAGCTCGGTAAGCGGCAACAGATAACTTAAAGTGCCCTCAATTCTTGCATAACCTTATGTTCTAATACTAATCGGCACACCCATGGAATGAAAATGCCGATTATCAACACAACACCCAGCACTTTCTCACCTGAACGGCGTCACCGTTGAAGACCCCATCTATTATGAAATATGTCCAGAACACAGGCCATTCACATTCAATGTTTTCAAAGAGCTTGAGTTCAGCAGGGTCATAATGCAATCGGTTTGGGTCCTGGAATCAAACAGGAGACCGTCTAAAAGGTGATGTCAGATCACATATATAACACCATCGTACCTCACTGGGTTTCCCTCGCTTTCTGATTCAACCCAGCTTTGCGGCTGATAATGATTAGGAGTCTGCTTTAATGGGGAGAAGCTATTTTTGGTAGTTTTCCGTGGAAAATTTTCGGAAAAGTAAATCAGAAATGTACACAAGACTCCTTAGTAGTTTATATTAAGCTTCCTGTATCCCTAACAAATAAATAGCAATTGGCCGATCACGATGCTTGGCAGACTATCTGTTTTACTGAAATCACTCTATCAGTCACGATGGCAAAAAAAACCCAAGAGGGAGGCCACAGTTGCTCTTTAAAACATCATGTGAGCCACAGAACTGTTTGTCCTCGTCTACAGGCTGCTTTTAAACCACCAGCCTGCTGTCCTCCTGATGATCTTATTCTTCTATTGCCTAACTTCAGCCTCGCTGTCTCCAAAATTAAGACTTCCCTTTCCAATTTTCCAACATGTAATTTTATAATCAAGGAAAGGAGAACACCACAGTGGTGACTTAAATATGAAGCACTTAAGGAACTATAAGAAACAATATTTAAGTACAACCTCTCTTGGGGTTTTATAACCGTCTCGAAGGAAGCGACAGCATCCATAACGCCCCTAAGAAGAAAAAAAGTGCATTCGATGAAACAAGAATTTCTTTGCCTTTTTATTTTGATTCGCGTCAGCCCTTCACCCCCATTCCCATCAGTCTTTTAGTAACGAATGAAATGTGTACCAAGTGCTTTTTGTTCTCAACACAAAAAGTTATTTTTAAGTAATAAGCCAAGTAAATTCAGGTTTGATCAGTGCCAACGAGGGAATGCCAAAACTTTCTGTCAGAGTATCAGGGCTGGGAGAGTAATTACTGAGAGTTCAGAGTGACCAGCCTTTCAGTCTGATTGGCTGTATCACGCAAAGATGCAAAGGGACCCTCACTGCTTGCAAAAGCCACTAAGGGAGACACTCGGACTGGACTACTTCTACTTGAAAGACTAGAAAGCAGAAAGGACATTTCAGACTCCTCACAGGCTCTGGATGCAAAGAAGTAGGGCGGCGAGGTGGGGGCAGGGGTAGGGTGGGGTGGGTGGGGCTTCCTAGGACTCAGGGCTGTTGCTGCTGGTTTTCCTGCTGCAGGCTCCGATATTCTATTCGTCTTCGGCTTTCTGGGTGTTAAGAAAGAAGGGCGGTGGCACCGCGCTGTTAACGTGCCTCCCTAATCCCTGGATGGCAGTGCTGGGTGCCCGCTCCCAGTTGGGGCTGCTTTAGCGCTGGCTGCGGAGGCAAGCACGCTCTGTGTGGCCAGCTTTGCAGTGTTCTGGGAGTCCTGGGGAGGCCCAGCCCAGAACCCGCTCCCCTTTAAACGCTTCATTCCCTGCATTAACTCCCTGCCTACCTGGACGAGCTCAAACAGCTTCCTTTTACTCCACTAAACCGTGAGACAGCTTCTTTGGGGGTATGACTGGGGACCCTTTAACCCCTTTGAATCCAAGGGCTAAAATCATTTCTATGGAATCTAAGCAGGATCATCAATATGAAGATTTTGGCTTAGGAAATGTAAAATTTTTTTAAGGAAACTTACATTTTTCATCATTTTACTGATAAATCCAGTTGCCTGGACTATTTAATAACATTCTCAGTTTGGTGTACTGTATTATAGTTCGTGCATTTCGCCTCAAGGCAGGGATTTTTTTTTAAATTTTTTTTAACTTACATCCAAGTTAGTTAGCATATAGCGCCACAATGATTTCAGGGGTAGATTCCTTAATGCCCCTTACCTGTTTAGCCCATCCCCCCTCCCACGCCCCCTCCAGTAACCCCGTTTGTTCTCCATATTTATGGAGAAACATCTCTTATGTTTTGTCCCCCCTCCCTGTTTTTATATTAGTTTTGCTTCCCTTCCCTTACGTTCATCTGTTTTGTCTCTTAAAGCCCTCATATGAGTGGAGTCATATGATATTTGTCTCTAATTTCGCCTAGCATAATACCCTCTGGTTCCATCCACGTAGTTGCAAATGGCAAGATTTCATTCTTTTTGATAAGGCAGGGATTCTTTTAACTTCAATGTAACTTGGGGATTGCCAAGTCCTCAGAAATTGTGCATGAAGTTGGAGGATACTGGGACATGTGCATTTCTTTCTGGCAGGGACTTTATAGCTTTCAAGACGTTCTCAAAGAAGTCTGTGATCTCTCACGGGTTAAGAAGCTCTGCTTTAGAAGTACAGGAGGGATACGAATCGGGGTTCAAAGGCGCCAGCTTGGGCGCTTGAGCTCAAGCTCTGCTATCAGGAAAAGAACTAAGACACTTGAACACTCTGAGCCTTTGTTTTCTCACCTGTAGACTCGGCTTTGGATGCTCTGAGTCCACTCAGATAAACCAGGCCTCTGACCTCACGGAGAACCGAGGCCCAGGTGAGCGGCTCCATGTGACCACATGAAAGGGGCACATAACACAGGGTAGGGAGGCACCAGCCTGATCAACGCTTACCTGGAGCTTGGAAATAATTTCATTTTTGGTCACATTCACAAGGTTCATATCTTCCACTGCAAAGGCCGGGAAAGAGATAATGGAAAGAAGTCCAGCGTCAATCTCCTTAGACGTTGATGCTCTTGGCAGCATGGAGAACAGAATAGACTGAATGAGAAACAAACAGGTGGCTTTAACCTGGGAGGTGCTGATAGTTACGTACGATATCTAGAGACCATGACCTTAGCCCCAAGGAACACCTGAATAAGTGTGCCAATTCTGAGTTGAGCTTTTTCCTACCAACACGGCCCTCGCTGGGGGACCTTGCCTACCCAGCCAACGACTCCTGTTCCTTGCGGGAGAGAAGGGGCTCGGGGAGAGCACGGTACTGCCTGGAGCGCATGCTGAGAACTGCTGGTCTCCCTCCCTCGGGTGCCTTCTGTAGACTGTGCTGTGTCTTTAGGACACACAGGAGAGGAACTAAGGGCTAATGCGTCAGCAGGCCGGGGTGTGCTGGCTGTGAAGACGGAGACACAGAAGAACACACATATGGGGCTAGCACAGAGAAATGTCCGGCTTCTGTGGAATGTGACTGGGTGGACTGGGTGATCCAGAACCCACTTGAAGAGGGAGTCCAATCCGAGAGACCACACAAACACTCAGGCAAAATGGTAAATAACAGAATTACTTTAGTCCTAGAACTAGGGTTACTTAGTGGCACTATAACATGGTCTCAATTATAAGGTGGTTGGGTTAGGCACTATAAACGAAAGGAAGGTGAAATGATAAGGAAAGTTTGCGAACGGAAGGTAGCTAACACTGGGATCTAACATGTACAGACATGGGGCTAGCTCCCTGCAAACATAAGCTTACTAACTCTCATATACACATGGTGCACTACACTAACTGATTTTCAAATGTTAAACCAATTTTGCATTCCTGGAATAAATCCCGTTTGGTCGTTAAAAATTTTTTTTTTCTATTTTATAAAGAAGGAATTTGGATACTGTGCCCAGGGCACACGAGGGCTCTGAGACTCAGACACAGAGATTCATGTGACAGAACTAGGATTCTAACCGAGGCCCAGCTGGCTATAAAGCTCACACAGTTTCCCCTAGGGACTATGCATTATTAAGATGTATCATCAGCTTCGTTCTGTTAAACCGTAGCTCAAGAAATAAACAGATTCCCCATTCAGGACTATTTAATGTGGGGAAACGGAGTGAGCCGGAAGGTAGGTAAACACGGCGGAACCTTCAGCTTCAGAATAAAGCTCTGTTTTCTTATTTTTATTGTTTTTAATTTTTATTTATTTATTTTTTAAATTTACATCCAAGTTGGTTAGCATATAGTGCCACGATGATCTCAGGGGTAGATTCCCTAATGCCCCTTACCCGTTTAGCCCATGGCCCCTCCCACAACCCCTCCAGTGACCCCTGTTTTTTTCTCCATATTTAAGAGTCTCTTATGAGAATAAAGCTTCAGTTTCTAAAGCAAACTGAGCTCCAAGCCCAGTTCAGGAACTAGTCGCTCACTCCTAGGCTCTCTGCCTGCAAACACGGCCCTCCCCCCCCGGAAGCTCTCTGCGTACAAGCTGATACTTCCACGACCCTGGCGCGGTACCTGGCCCAGAGGGGGCCCTCACTAAGTAAGAGTTTGCTGACTGACCAGCAATCGGTGACCTACTGCCTGCTCGATGGAGTCCCCTAATCTGCAACGAATCACTCCTTTCTCTGACCTGTATTTCATGCAGTTTCTACTAATTTTGCCATTTCTCCCATCTCACCTCTCCTCCACTATCCGTCCCGCCCCTCCCCAGCCCTCCCCAAGTGAACTAATGCTTGCTAGTCATCCATTTTGGTGGCACCACGAAATAAACTCGAGAGAAAACCACCTGTATGCTCAAAAACCGAAAAAGATGTTGCCTCCAGCAAAAGAAGGTTGCTGTGATTGCTGACTCTGCAGATACACCTCGTGATCATGGTGTCTTGTGTTTACCCAGTACTTTTTAGCTCATCGAGTGCTCTGACAAACTAAGTTCATTTACTCTGATCCTTACAACCGCCTTGTGTGACGGGAGAGGAAGGTGCCAGCACGCCCGTTTTATGGATGAGGGGACTGAAGCTCAAGGAAGCCAAGTACCACCAAGCGAGAAATGTGAGGAACGTGGGCCGCCCGGCTGGCTCAGTCGGTAGAGCATACGACTCTTGATCTTGGGACTACTACGTTCGAGCCCCATGTTGGAAGCAGATTACTTAACATCTTCAAAAAACAAAACAAAAGCGAGAAAGAAAGAAAGGTGAGGAATGTGACGTGGAGCCCAGTCTTCCATTCCATCAGCCTCCTTCCCTCCTGTCTGGACTGTGAGAGGCTTGGAGCTGTTACCTGGCAGTGTTCGACATCATCAGGCAGCACGTGGATCACTGACTTGCGTCCTCCATGGGCTCCAAAGAGGTCCAGTTCGTCAATTGCCTCAAGGGCTGCCTACAAGCACAGGTGTGAATCAGATTTTCTTTCTGGTAAACGGACACTTTCACAGCCACTACTCCTTTACCGTTAAGCAATCTAGCATAAATGCCTTCCCCAAGGTGAGGAAACATATCAGTAAAATTCAGCTAAAGTGTCCTGGAGATAGGTCCTGTCCTTATTTTCAGTGAAATCACAACTTTCCTGGATGTTGCCACTCTTTGTAGAAACAAGAAAGAAAAAGCAGACTAACGTTTCCCCAAATGAAGTTAGTATTTCTCCCAAAGCGTGAGATGTTAATGACTTTCTACCATTGTGTCTGTGGGGGGGGGGGGCCCACTAAATTCAGACAGCTTTTCTTTCACCTATTTGTGTTAATTTTAACATTAGCAATCTGCCACTTAAGGAAGTTAATTCTTTTAGTATTAAGCTTTCTGTCAGTTGACTGTAACAGAACATATTTATTGTTGTTTTGAAAATTCTAGCTCTGGAGTCTTTATTCTATCCAAAAATATACTTCAGTCTTGAGCAAGAGGGAGGCACATTAAATGTCTGGGGCAAGAGATATAAACTGGTGACTGGCAGACTGAATCTGCCCCACAGGTGTGTTCTGTTTGGCCTGATGAAGTTTCATTTTATTATTTTTTAATGTTTTATTTATTTTTGAGGAGAGAGAGAAACAGAGTGTGAACTGTGGAGGGGCAGAGAGAGAGAAGACAGAATCTAAAGCAGGCTCCAGGCTCCGATCTGTCAGCACAGAGCCCGACGCGGGGCTCGAACTCATGAGCAGTGAGATCATGACCTGAGCCGAAGTCGGACACCCAACCGACCGAGCCGCCCAGGCACCCCAAGGCCTGAAGTAGTTTTAAAAATGATTTTGAGGGGCGCCTGGGCGGCTCGGTCGGTTAAGTGTCCGACTTCGGCTCAGGTCATGATCTCACACTCCATGAGGTTCGAGCCCCGTGTCGGGCTCTGGGCTGACAGCTCAGTGCCTGGAGCCTGCTTCAGATTCTGTGTCTCCCCTTCTCTCTGCCCCTCCCCTGCTCATGCTCTGTCTCTGCCTCAAAAATAAATAAAGACATTTAAAAAAAATAAAAAAAAAATAAAAATGATTTTGAACTGGAATACTTTTAGAGAAAGCTTCCAGTGCCTCCAATACCTCTCAATACTTTTCTATCTGGCCAGCTTCATTTGTGTATGTTACTTGCCAGACCTGAGCCCACAGGCTTTGGAACTTTTGAGCCCTGCCCTACAAAGCAGTCATATTCTTCAGCTCTCTTTATGACCCAGAAAAGGAGACTGGACATCATACATCCAGATGCCTGGACAACAGCAAGAGCTTAGGCCTGTGGGTGATAATAATGAGGAAGCAGGACACTTATTTTCGGGCACAGGCACACTTCAGTGTAGGAATCCTACATTCTTTACCTATAATCTCAGTTGTCTGGGGTACCTGTGCCACTTGAATTTCACACTTGTGGCTGACTTGAAAAATATGCTCATTAGATTAAATCCATCCCCCTAAAGATGAGAACCAAATCAAAGCAGTTAAAATGCACAGAAGGAAGAACAAACAGGTCAAGACCATCACCTTAGCCATTCCTACAGAGCTTGCGTTCAATTCCGGAATGCCCTGATTAGTCTTATCTCCGCGCTCCCACATTCCATAATCCTGAGGAAGAAAAAGGTAGTCATCAGAGCAGGAAAAAGAGGTATATGAGAAGTGCTAGGGAAACATAATTCCTTTATGTTACCCACAGGCACAATGGCACGCGAATATCCATTCTCAAAGGTTACAGGATTCATGGCTGTGCTTGTCCTTAATTTCACTTCATTTGACCTCTGTGTAGAATTTAACTCAAGTGGAACAAAAATGCATGCAAAAACACTCTCAATTTTCTTATTCCTAAAAGTTATCAATTTGTAAGAAATTCCTGATTTGTAGAGAACATGTTTTATTTCTCTTCAAATGAAATGCTGCCCCTCTATTTAGCTAATCCCTTTGAACTTAAATTGTAAGATAGAATAAAGAAACTTTAACAGATGCATTATAGCTAGTTGAAGCCAACCAAACCACTTAAAATAATTTAATACCAATTTCTAGCGTGACCTCTTGGGAAAAAGTGCTAAGCAAGGAACAAAAGCCAAAATCAAGTGAGGCACAGAATACTGAACTTGCCCTATCTTTTAAACCAGATTAATAAGAACTGGGTCAGAACATGCCATCCACACAGAGGCTGTGATCCATGCATACCTTTTATAATTCGTATTTTCACTTAGGTGAGGCAAGCGCTGGATACGGTTCTGAAATAACGCTACACGCGCTACCGAAAAATGACAACCCAACAAGAACAGGACCAGTGCCAGAATTGCAGCGTTTATTGTTTGATCTGCAAAGACGAACATTTCCAAAATGTGCACACCAGAGCGGCTTTCGCCTCTGTCCTGCTGGCACACCTTGTAGCTTAGCCCCAGGACTCCTTCCTCCGTAGTCCTCCTATCTGGGCCTTTGCGCATTCCACGCCATTCTCACTCCAACCCCAGAGCCAAGTGACTCATCCTCAGCAACTGCTTTGATCAGCTCACCCCCCTGTGCAGGACTCTAAAATGACAAACCATTTATTCCCCAGGGGCTCCCGGTCAAATGCCTCTCTCCGGCTGGCCACACACCTCTGTTATCTGGCCCCCGCCCCTTGCACGCCCACAAGCAGACTGTTTTCCGCTTGTCTCCAATACTCTGCTTTCAGGCTGTCTCCTCCTTCCCCCGGAGCCCCCTCTCCCCAAGGACCGCTCCCACATTCAGAGCTCATTCCCGCCCATGACTGCACATGCTCTTCCCGCACCGTTCTGCTCACCTAAGCCCTACTCACCCTCCAAGGTCTACCTCAAGTCCCACCCTTCCCACAAGGACTTCTCTGGTTTCTTTAGACCTGGGCACTGCCGCCATTTGGAGCCGGATCCTGCCGTGTTTGGGCGCTGCCCGTGCGAGGTGGGATGTTCAGCAGAATCCCTCGCCTCCGCTCACTAGGGGCCAGTAGCTCCCTCCACCGTGTGACAAGCATAAAACTGTTACCAGATGTTGTCCAATGTCCCCCGGGAGGGGAAGATTGACCCTCGTTGAGAATCGCCTCTTTAGACCCGGGGTAGCCCTTGGACCAAGCCTAGTTTGCCATGTATTTTTGTAAACAAGGTCTGTCTGGGACACAGCCATGCTCACGTGCTCACGTGTTGTCTAGGGCTGCCTTCCTACGACAATGGCACACTTGAGTAGAAGCAACAGGGACCGTAGGGGCTGAAAAGTTGAAAATCTTTACTGTCTGGCCCTTTACAAAAAATGTTTGCCGACCCTTGCTCTAGACCATAGTGGCGTTTTTGGGTTTGTTTTTTTTTTTTTTTTGAAAACAAACTCTACCCTTTCTTTACTTCCCTTACACTCAGCTTTGCAAAGGTTCCTTGTTTTCTAAGAAGTGTGCAAGGCGCCGCCTTCCTTATCAGACAGAAGCCTGGAGGAACTGGGTGGGGTTTATACAGTTTACACCCACCGGCACCGGCCGGGCCCACATCTGGCTCTGGGCCCTCCGCCTGTCGGCTGCGTGGGGGGATCCCCACGCACAGCAGTTCCTACCCACACGCCGACGCGGCCGCCCTTCACCCTGGGTCAGGCCGGCCCGGTACAGGCCACAGGACACCTTTTGGTCTTATTTCAGACCGGAACAATGGGTTCGAGCAGAGCACGTGGTGCATTCCAAAAACATCAACTCCCCAGCTGCGTTCCAGGACGAAAATGTGCACTCTGTGTGCAGAGGTGACAGTCACAGAGCTGTAACCTCGCTAACCTTCTGATCAGCCCCAAACAGTCTGGCCCTCCAAGAATGGTAGGAGTTTTATTCTTCTTAACTGGACACCTGAAAACATTACTGGGGTTGATACTTACAGCGACTTTATATGCAGCTTCTATGTAAAAAACAAGATTCTGTATGAAGGCCACCTCGTCAAGGGTGAAAATAATACGTAAACCTAGTAAAGAAAAACAATAAAGTTACGGACTTCCGTTGTGAAGAGAGAGCTGCCAATTACCAACTACAAATACCACACTAGGAAAGAAATCCTTGTACCCCCATTTTCAGTTTTCTTACGAGCGCATCAAAAATTAAGTCTGAAGCATGGGGCGCCTGAGGAGCTCAGTCAGTTGAACATGTGACTTCGGCTCAGGTCATAATCTAACAGTTGATGAGTTTGAGCCCCACGCTGGGCCTGCTGCCGTCACCCTGTCAGCATGGAGCCTGCTTCAGACCCTCCGTCCTCCTCTCTCTCTGTCCCTCTCCCACTCATGCTCGCTCTCAAAAAATAAATAAAACATTAAAAAAAATTTTTTTTAATTCAGTCTGAAGTAAATTGGAACGGTTAATGCCTAATCTCTGAAAGAGAAAGGAAGGGAGGAGTGTGTGCCTACAGGTAGTAAAAATGGGAAGAGAAGGTGTGGGGCCTCCTGGTAGTGCTGGATTTGTGCAAAGAAGTTTCCAACAAACCATGAATTTTAGCCCGGAGCAACCAGACACCATTCTTACCCTTGAGTGAGCCAAAGGGTGGGTACATTTCCCCAGTGGCAGATGAGAGAGTAGAGCCCCCAGCGTCAGGAGACAACCCTTAACCTCGTGGAAAGGCGAGCTCCCCGGACCTCCCTAGGGGGCTGCACTGAAGCAGGCAGTGACCAACAGGGCTGGATTTTTGCTTGGGTCCTTTAACGTTTAGTTGATCATGGCAAATACACATACTTTTAAAGTATGAATTCTTGAAGCTGGTAGAGGTATGGTGAGATATGAACTCTTGCATCAATGGGGGGAGTTTGACTAGTAAACTGTTCTGAAAACAACTTGGTAGTATATGTAAGTAGCCTCTGAATGACACCCAACAGAAGGAAGCAAACGGAGAAGGGGTCAAAGTTGGTATTGCAACATTAGTTATAATAGGGGGAAAAGAATAAAGGAATGGTTTGATTATAACATATCCACTGATAAAGTCACTAAAATTATGTTTATCGAGAGCTTGTAAGATCATGGGGAAAATGCTCAAGTTACAATGCTATATAATAAAGATTATTAGCCATGCAAACGAAAAGACCTTAAATAGAAAAAAAAACTTGGAGGACACACATTCAAATGAAAATGGACAGGGGAATTTTTTTCTTTGTATTTTGTTAAATTTTCCAAACTATTTACAGGTTCATATTAATTTTCACAACCAAGAAGTATTTTTTATAAATGCCCGGTGTATTCACAAAGCTGTAACAATATCACTTGTGGATTTCTGCTAACTTTGAGTTTCACACCTGCAGTCCGAACTACACGGGAAGCCTCTAACTCCAAAGGTCAGTTTACCGCTGGTGACGAGAACTTGGCGACACAGCAGCTGACTGACCTAAGCCCTGGCGGCCACAGTGGGGGGGGCTGAGGGGCAATGCTCATGGTCGGGGACTTCGGGCCCACTCCCAGCATGGGTACTATGGACTGACTGACCACTCCGGGCACGTAGCCGAGCCCTAGAAATGACACTGTTTCGGTATAATTCAGGTAGATGAGGGTGTGTCTAGAAGGGGGTGAGCCGGGCAGTGAGAGGAAAAGGTGAAGGGGCCAGGCCTGCTAATACTAGAGAAGAAAATCCCAAGAGGGGGTTTGACGCTGTCTGCAGATATTCAGACTGTCAGAAGTAGATCTGATCTCGGCTGCTCCAGTAAACAGTGGCAGCAAGGAAGCTTTGGGATCAACAGCCCTTTGTCCTACCAGTCCTCAGAAGGTTGGCTATGAGCATGTCACAGAGTCAATGCATGTAACGTTATCAAGAGCATGCTTTTTCTTTACAGAAATAACTTATTTTGAATTCTAATCAATGCCTGTCCCTCCCCACCCCCTTCTCCCTGTACAATGTCACTCCCTGTACAATGGGCTCGAACGACCCTGGCTCACCGGAGGCCGTCATCTGGGCCAGGAACAGGAGGAAGAGGGAGGTGGCATCCACCTGGAGGTGGCCCCACTGGTCGTCACCCACCACGGTGCTGCAGGTGGCGGTGTTGTACTTGGCGTGCAGGCTGTCCTTGGTACTCTGAGTGTGCTTGAACTTCTCCACTTTATGTACCTGAGGGAGGAAGCAAGCCGGCTCCACACAGTAAAGGGGATGACGGCGGGCAGAGGCCATACCCAAAGCCCATCTCTTAGTTCTAGACCTCTTAGCAGCTACCTCTGGGAGCCAGAGGGATGGAAGGCAGCACATGATCCCTAGTGAGCACCACACAGAGGGGCTGTGTGGGGAATTCTTCCCGTCCGCACCAGAAGGGGCCCGGCCCAGTGGGATTTTAACAAGCTCTGCAGGGCAACGGGTCAAGCCAAAGGGTTTCTTTGTCTGCATATGCCCAGCATGAGCTGTGACACACGGGAGGCACTCAGTAAGAGAGAGAGGGAACAAAGAGGCCCCGTTTAAACTTCAACTTCTTGTTTCCTTATGTCCAAAGGAAAGGGCAACTAGGTCTTCGAAGACTAACTGGGCATATGCTGATGAAGGGCGGGGACAGTATCATTCATCTCGGAATGTGTGCAGATCCCGGCAGGATATTCTGCACACAGTACAAGCTCAATGAATTGTTTTATTTACTCCTCGCTGAAAATACCAGTAAACAGTAACGTCAAGTTTTAAAAACTCAAGCATTTCAACTCAAATGAAAGGAAACCCTTTTATAAACTCAACAAAATAAACAGTGCTACGTGGCTGTCTGGGAGTGGCTTTAAAAAACAATGATATCTGGGGCGCCTGAGCAGCTCAGTCGGTTAAGTGTCCGACTCTTGATTCTGGCTCAGGTCATGATCTCATGGTTCATGGGATCGAGCCCCATGTGAGCTCTGCACTGACAGCGCGGAACCTGCTTAGGATTCTCTCTCTCCCTCTCTCTCTGCCCCTTCCCTGCCCATGCTCGCTCGCTCTCTCTCTCTCTCTCTCTCTCTCTCTCAAAATAAATAAGTCAACATTGAAAATAAATAAATAACAATGGTCTCTGCCCCATTTAAAAAAAGGGCATGTTCTCCTTTTACACAAGTAACTCTTCAAAAGAGATTCTGAGTAACGGGGTCCTTTGATTCTGGGTCCTTATTGAAGATAATTTAAAAGGACAAAGAACGTAAACTATTTCCTATTTCTCTTCCACTTGAGAAGAAAAGCTCAAGACGCTTTAGGGATGTTAGCTGTCACCATGTAAATGATAAATACCCACTAAGATGACCTGAAAACACATTTGCCATTTTCTGCCTACCTGTCTCATCATGCACTGGAGAAGACCCCGCATCAGTTTCACCACGTTCTGCGGAAATAAAGCGGGATGAGTGACGAGGCCAGCTTCCCTGCTCCATGAAAACCACCTCCTTACCACGTGGTCGGTAACCAGGGCTGCCTAGAGACCTCCCTGAGAAGGTGCATCCTGAGCATATACACGTCTTCCGATTGTTTCGATTACCTCCAATCCATCACAAACAAAGAAAATCTGGATGCAGCGACTTATCTCAAATAAAGGGGTTGGACCACATGGCACCTCCAGTTCTGGAATCCACTGGTATTCTAGCGAGACAATTTGTATAAGCCTAGTACCCTGATGTTTAATTCTGATGTCACAATTCTTAGTAATTCATTTTTGTCATGCTAAAGATGAATTAAGTCCACCATCCTGCCCCAAAGTAATGACACTTTGCCAAAAGAGCCATTTGTGACACCATCACTGGACTATTGAGTAAAGTTCTTACAAAATGCAAGTGGCCACCAAGGTTACTCAATAATACGTATCGCAACCAACTATTGTAATTATTATTATAAATAAGAACAATAGTACGATGATCATCAGACATTCTGCCCAGGAGCTGTATAAAACACTTTGCCTGGGTTCTGTGTAATTCTCGCAAACAACCTTATGAGGTGAGTGTCATTATTACCCCACTTTATAGATGAGGAACCTGAGGCTGAGAAAGATGAGGCGACATTGCTAAAGTCACGCAGCTGGCAGGCGTTTGAGCTCTTAGTCAATACGTTATGTTGCCTCCCACTTCCTTCACAATTCAGGCCCATCAAAAGACTGCTCTTAATATGTCCTATGAGAAACACCATAAAATGAATTCACAAGTGGCTACAGAATGGGACAGTTTGTAGGTCGAAGTAGACTGGCTGGAAGAAGCTCCTACCCAGGACCATGAGCATCTCCTGTCTTGCAGAACGTACGTGCTTTGCCGAGGAGGAATGTAGTAAAGGCCATGGAAGTTAATTACCACAGAAAAGTCTGGAGTGAATTATCCTTCAGATCCTTCTGCCTCTAAAATCCTAGAATTCTAGAATACGATTTCACTTTAGGTCATAAACTCTTTTGAGGCAGAAAATGTTACCTCACGATAAGGTTATAACTAACATTGCTATAATTAACATTTCCTACTGTGTACAGCGTGACCATTTGTCAACTGACTTCCCCTCAAGTAAAGAAAACTTATTTTCCATTATGAAGAGGCACAGTGGTTCCCAACTGGGTGGCCATTCCCATCCTCCAGGGGTGAGGGAACATCTGGAAATGTGGGGCCAGGAGCATTTTTACCGTCACCAAGATAAAGATGGGGACTACCGGCATTTAGTGCGTAGGGACCAAGGAGCCTAAGTGTCCTTCCATGCATGGGCTAGTCTCACACAATGAACGACTGTGCTCCCCAAGCTCCAAGCGCAATAGCATCCCTGCTTCAGATCACTGGAAGATCCCATGTTATCTTCCATAATCAAGGGAAACGTCTCTCTTTAGTTGTCAACCACACTCATCAAAACAACGTGCCCTATTCGTGCCTCGCTATCGTCCGTCACAGAGCAGCAAATCCAGTCAACTCTAGCCTGCGTCAGAAAACGCTTACAGAGGGGGCGCCTGGGTGGCTCAGTCGGTTAGGCGTCCGACTTCGGCTTGGGTCACGATCTCGCCTTTCATGAGTCCGAGCCCCGCGTCGGGCTCTGCGCTGACAGCTCGGAGCCCGCTTCAGATCCTCTGTCTCCCTCTCTCTTTGCCCCTCCCCTGCTCGCACCCTGTCTCGCAAAAATGAATAAACATTAAAAAAAAATTAAGAAGAAAAGAAAACGCTTACAGAGGAGAGGTACACGGTGTGTGTGCGTGCATGCACACGTGTGTGTAGACGGCAGGCTTTACTTTGACTTCGTCTCAAGGGAGGATGGGAAGTTTGATGAACAACCACATTAAATTATTACGCTGCTAAGAACGGCTCACTTATGTGCTAGCTATCCAACTTCTTGGGGGAGCACCCAGTGCTTGCTATAAGCATTTTTTAAAACTACCTCTTGCTCTACCTCCAAAGCTTGGTGATTGTATCGCCTTACGCTCAGCAACGTCCAGTCAAACCCAAACCATCCTTCCCTTGCTCCCACAGACAGGTTTCCTCTCTTAAGTTTCCCTACTGTCGTCAAGGCTGCCCACAACTCCTGCCCACTTTGGTTGCTATCACAAGCACTGATCGGGCTGTAAGAACTCTCCCTGGGTCTGACAATCGGCTAGCTGGGAGGGCCAAGGAGGAACGTATGAATCAAAGATAAATCCAAAAGGTTCTCCTGCTAAGAGAACTATAATTTTATATGTCAGTGCTTTCTGCTTCAACACCGTCACTCCAAATACTCTGAAAATACCTCCCGTGCTCAAGGGCAGAATATTTTCTTACGTACTCAAGGATGGCAAACCTTTGCTTCGGCGGGTACGTCAGTTTCTGATCTGAGAAATCAGTAAGAGGATTTCACAGTGCTGTGATGGTGACATAGGCATGAATATTGGACAACACCAATGTGACTCAAAATTAAAAGGTAACTATAAATTAATAAGACCGCTTTGGAAGGGCTCAAACTAGAAAGGAATTTCTAAGGGAAATTCCGAAAATGTTTCAAGCAGTAGCAATACCGTTTGGAGAAATACCCTTTCAACATGACTACTACAAAGCATACACTCTGGAACGTGTATTTCTGGTGTGTTCTTTGGAAACAGTCATTATATGACTGTTGTGTTCTTTGGAAACAGTCATTATATGAGTGTATAATGGCACTGTGTATGTAAGTATATATAAAATGGACAGAGCATGTGAGAGAGACATGTAGCTAGTTAGAAATGTGGACGCTTTCTTTTCCTGTTCAGAATAGTATGATTTTTATTGTTTTTAAGGAAGACAAAAAAATCTCAAAGAGAAAGACCAATGAGAGGTGGAGGCTACCTAAGCGCCCCCCTAAAATATTCTATAGCAGGAATGGACGGGGCGCATACACCGAACTGTTCTACACAAACAGCTACCTCCTTGGAGGCTTTTCAGTTCAGGGGAAAGGGGCTGAGCAGCCAACGTGGCTGCCACTCGGCATTACCTGCTCCAGCTCGTAGGCTTTGGCCTTGTCCTCATCGCGGTCGGCATTCTTGCGGTAGGCCATGCCCAGGCCCCACACGGCCAGAATGCTGTAGATGTTATCCCGCACCCAGGCGTCCTTCTGTTCGTGACTGGCTGACAGCAGCCCTGTGACCGGATTCTGTTAGAGAAGAGACACAAAATGACTCAGCGCCACCTTCACCCAACTCCTGGCAAACGGACGCCTGCCCTGAGGGGGCACGCCGAGGGCCGGGATGAGGAGCAGAAATCGGAGTTCTAGTCCTTCCTTGCTCTGCCACCAACAGCATGGTCTTGCGTGACAAGTGACGTCACTCCTCTGTGGTTCCCTCATCTATATAATAGAAATATTAGCTTAGAAAGTCTCTAGGGAACCTTCTAACGCTGAAGTTCTTGTGCTTTCAAACCAGATCATACCGTTGTGACAAACAAAACGACCGACCAATAGAAAAAGCCCACGAGTCTTAACAAATCTGCGCACCACAGGCTTCAGGTCTTCTCCCGCCTGTATGCTTCCACATCAGCTGGGGAGACATTGAACCTGGAGCGAGAGACCCAGATGCGGGGCCCCACTCCACCAGTCCAGCTCTGTGTGCCAGGGGAAGCCGCCTACCCTATCCGGGCCTCCAAGGCCTTGTCTGTAATCCAGACATTTCACGTGCCCAAAAAGGACACGCTAAGCAACAGGACATCAGAGGTCCTATTTGGCTATGATATTTAAAATTTGTTTTTAATGTTTATTTATTTTTGAGAGGGACAGAGCGCGAGCGGGGGTGGGGCAGAGAGGGAGGGAGACCCAGAATCCGAAGCCATCAGCACAGAGCCCGACGCGGGGCTCGAGCCCACGCGCTGTGAGATTGTGACCCGAGCCGAAGCCGGACACTTAACCGACTGAGCCACCCAGGCGCCCCTAGCTATGATATTTAAAAGGGCAGCCGAGTCACTAAAAAGCCAGATCTTCACACACAAAAAAGTACACACAATATTCTTGACAGCATTAGTCATAATAACTCAAAAGCGGAGACAACCCAGATGCCCATCAACTGATGAATGAACAAAATGTAGTCTATACAATGAAATATCATTCAGCAATAAAAAGGAATGAAGAAGCATTCATATATGCTACAGCATGGGTGAACCTGGCAAACATAATGCTAAGTAAAAAAAAGCTGGTCACAAAGGACCACATATTCTCTCATTCCATTTATATGAAACGTCCAGAATAGGTTAACCTGTAGAGATAGAAAGATTAATGGTTGTTTAGGGTGGGGGTGGGGGGCGGGTAGAAGGAAATGGGGTGTGAGTGACTGTTAACAGGTCACTTTCTGGAGCTGATCAAATTGTTCCAAAATTGATCACGGTGATGATGCATGACTCTGTAAATATACTGAAAACCATTACACTGTTTACTTTACACAGATGAAGTGTACGGTAAGTAAATTATATCCCAATAAAGCTATTATTTTTTAAAAGCCAGTGCTAATAAACTCTGTGCTTAGAAATAAAATGGATAAGATAGAAAAAGAGTGACATAAAGATCAAGCCTTGTTGACCTGTCCTGAAAATATGTAAAGAAATATGTATCTGATAAAATACGTCCAATACAGGGCCTTGCCAGCTTAAAAAAAAATTACTCAAAAGAGTACTAAATTATTTACAAGGAGGCTCACGAAAAAACTGTTGGGTACTTTCAAAGTGATAGTGCCACGGTTATTAGATAAAAGAAAACACTGGCATAGTTCCAAACGGTCCCACATGAGGAATTAAATAGTGGACTTTCTCCTTTAACTAATCTATGTCCTCTTCAAAAGCATCTAAAACTCAACTGAAACCGCCCACAGGGGCAACAGAGTTTTGTCTTTTGACACAGCTCCATGGCCAACAATTGTACATCAATCATTTTAAAGAACTGAAGTCGAGAAATGGCTGAGTGAAGGTGTGAGTCTTAGTCCAACATCGGACAACTGGGGTTTTTAAAAAAATCCAACAATGTATAACATAAGCAACTTTAACTGTTCTGAGGCCAGTTGGCTAATCCCAGGACGGGAATCATCAGGAGATCCAGAGAAAGAAATCAGCCCCTTCCTCGAATATCCGTCAACTGAGAGTCCACGGAGACAAACAGCCTTCCGATGAGACAGCAGTGACCGCCGACACATAGTGCCAAGTGTGGTTTGGATTATGAAATGTCACTGTCCTGTTAGCTGGAAGTTACTTCTTTGATTCTTTAGTTTGGGCTTACCTGGTGAACTGGATTAGTTTATCTCCACCCAGAGCTATTACGTCTGAACCCCTCGTTTCACTACAGGGATGCAGTCTGGGTGTTGAGATTCCCACATTCAAGACTACCTACCTACTCAAACCATGTTAAACTGCGGTGCTACTGCACTCAGTGAAAGGAGTTATGAACAGTAAGTTATGAATTTAGTATTTAAAAAAATTTTTTTTAATGTTTTTTTTTATTTTTGAGACAGTGACAGAGCATGAACGGGGGAGGGGCAGAGAGAGAGGGAGACACAGAATCGGAAGCGGGCTCCAGGCTCCGGGCCCGATGAGGGGCTCGAACCCGTGAACCGTGAGATCATGACCCGAGCCGAACATGGACACCTAACGGACTGAGCCGCCCAGCGGCCCCTTGAATTTACTATTATGAACTGAACATTCGTGTCTATTCAGATGCTGAAATCTAATTCCCAACGTGATGCTATTCGGAGGTGGGGCCTTTGGGAGGCGATCAGTGAGGGTAGAGCCCTCACGAATGGCACCTAGTGCCCTTACAGAAGAGGCCAGAATGCTAGCTTGCTCTCTCTGCCACGTGAGGTTGCAACAAGAAGCCAGCTGTCTGCAACCTGGAAGAGGGCCGTCACCAGAACCTGACCATGCCGGCACCCTCGTCTTGGACTTCCCAGCCTCCAGAACTGTGAGAAATAAATCTCTTGTTGTTTCAGCTCGCCTGTCTGTGGTATTTTGTTACGGCAGCCCCAGCTAAGACTGGCTTCTTTCTCTAAGTTTATAAAAAATAATGTGCTGTGTTGGAAGACGTGGGAGGTTCCATTTTGATGTAATTCATAAAAACTGAAACGACCACAGATCGGGAGATACTGTGCGATGCCCAGTCTGCTGTCCCTTCTTCTAACCGAGCCAGTGGCTTTGCCTTTGTGCTACTTACTCCCCTCCTTAAAGATGGCTTATGCTGCACCCCTGCATTCTCACTCACTGGTTTCTGTGAACCACCCAACAGGTCCATCCCTTCAGAGCTCTCTCTGGGGTCTTCTACTTGCATTAGCTATCTAAACGGAAGGGGCCTTCATATCTGCTGCAATTTTACAAGCCGAACACAAACAGCCGAACTGCAGACAACAGGAGGAAAGCGGGCAGAGCTTTTCAGGCTAAGCCAATGGCTTCAGATATGATCATTTTAACCATATGCTGCTTTCCAATCTTTTAAAAATATAATTGTATCTATACCCACACATAGCCTTCAGCATATTATGTTTAAGAGCAGAGGTGCTGGGAGGCACCTGGGTGGCTCAATCGGTTAAGCATCCGACTCTTAATTTCGGCTCAGGTCATGATCCCACAGCCATGGGATCGAGCCCCGTGTGGGGCTCTGCACTGAGCGTGGAGCCTGCTTAAGATACTCTCTTTCACTCTGTCTCTCCCTCTGCCCCTCTCCCCAACTTGCGCTCGTGTGCTCTCTCTCTCTCTCTCAAATAGTGTTGTTGGTGAGAATTAAATGAGTAATCCAAATCAAGCATTTTGGACTGTATCTACCATAAATCAGTGCTCAATAACTGCTAACTATATTATCAACCTATCTGAACAGATTTCATTCACATTACTTCTTTTTCATAGAATTATTTCAGGAAATCCGATGGGGAAGATGGGGATAGTGGTTAGGGGAACAATCTACAAGTCTGCTTAGCGTAACCATCGTTATTTTTATTAGGAAAAAAAAAGCCCGGTGCCTTATTTTTACAGTAAATATGGCTAGTGGATATATTTATCCCATTGATATGTTTGAGGACAAAACCCTGGCAACTCTCTACCCTCTCCACCCCCAGGTCTTTGCCTTTCCCCTTCTTTAGCCCTGAATTTTGCTCCCTCAAATCAATCTTCCCTGTTTTACTAAACTCTCTGTGTACTTTACCTGTAAGAGTAAATTAACATTAGTGACAAATTCTGTAATGAGCACCATGACCGCTCGACAACCGTTTCCTGAGGTGACAGGTGTGGGGCCATGGAGGAAGAAGATGGGGCGGACTGCAGACAATGGGGCTATGAGGGCAGCCATGAAGAGTCAAGGGTAGTGTCCCAATGTGGAGAAGGCACAGGCCTGAGCCAGGAGACTCAGCACCCCTGCTGTGAGGGAACTGACAATGATACCCTTCAACTCGAGGAGAAGAGGCCTGAGACAATGAGCCCCAAATAAATTGTGTTTCATTGAGCACAAGGGGCCAACAGTTGGGCATCTTGTCCCTCAGTTTCAGTCATCTGATGGCCCCTCTTACCTCTTCCACCACTTCTTCATTTCTAAATTAGAGAAAGTGCCCTTCTTGGCGCCTATTTGTGAGAGAAAGGCCTAGAATGAATTGGGCCCAGGGCTTGGCGTCTTATAACACCAAACATTCATTTCTCTTCCATGCCTCATGTCCATCGCTGGTCGACCGTGGTTCTGCTCGGTCTTGTCTTTCTTCTAGGAACCAGTCTACTGGAGCAGCCTATACCCACAACACTGCCCATCCCATGGCAGGGGAGAAGAAAGACAGCGAACCCTGAGCTGCCTCTTCAGGCTGCCAGCCAGAATGGACACATATTACCTCCCCTCTTATCTCATCCATGAAACCAAGTCTCATGGCCATTTCTGAGTTCAACAAGGGAGAGATGTGAAATCCTCCCCTAAGGATGGGAAGCAAATAACTGTGAACTATTATGTGAACAATTATGTGAACAACTATTATGTAAAGAATTGTGAATAATTATGCTGTCATGATGACCTTACCTGCTAGCTGTGGTGGGTTGGGACCCCCACCTTTATAGCCCACTGATAAGTGAATCTGTAGCGATCAGAGATTAACATGGTAACGAGCCATGTGCATTTTGCTTTTTGGCTTATAAAAAAGTCTCTCTCTGTCTTTCAAA